AAAACTGACCCATAAATAGGGGCACCTAAGCTTGCTGTGGTGGAGCTTCTCTGCTGAGAAATAAGGGCTGCCTGGAAGCCACACACAGGAGTGGAAGTCATCAAGGAAAGAAGGCCAGGTTGGTGTCTAGTGCAAGGTGTCCCTGCCCGTGGCAGGGGGTTGGAACTGAATGAGCTTTAAGGTCCCTTCCAACACAAACAATTCTAGTATCATATGAATTCTAAGAATAAAAGCGTAAAGAAGAATGTAGTGACCTGATAGTTTGTTTGTTTTTAAATCTAAATGTTGAAATAAAACACTATTTCTACACTGTACTATCACTCTGGTATACCTGTGAGTTGCAGCTCTGTGTGGGAGTGTTCCGAGTGTACATTCAATCCCTTAGGGCCATCCTGCTGCTTGTTAGACTTTACAAGGTAACCTTATTAGGATTATTTCTTTTGTCCTATAGCACCATCTCAGTCAGGTATCAAACAAGCCATTTATCAAACCATGTGTATGCTGAGGGCTGCCTTTGTGTCCCCCCCGCCATGGCAGGACACCTTTCTCTGCCACACTCAAGCAGGTTGGCTGTAGTGGAGGAGCCTCCAGCTGAAAGCTGTGGGGTGTTTCTGTTAAGGGGAAGGGAGGGAAAGCGAATGAACAAACAGTTCTCACTGTCTCAAAACCTTTGGCATCATTGCCAAGAGTACCACTGCTCTAATGGCTGCAACCTGTAACAAACCTGAGCTGTTTATTGTGTTTTAAATATTTGCTAGCCAGGTGTTTGGCAGATCACCTCTGCTGATATAGCCCCGTGCACTTGTGCTTGACCTTGCTGAATTGCTTCTAATCAAGTTTGTCCAGCTTTCCCTTTTCATAAAGCATATGAAAAAATGTGTCATTTTTGTGGTCTGTAAGATTCGTAATTCCCCCTTTGCTTGGAGCAGAGTCCTCTGCATTAATGTTGTGATGTGTTCCTCCATGATAATCCCACATCCAAGGATCAGGTGCCATCAAACAGAAGCAGAGGTAATCCCAGAGTACTGCCAGTTGTTGCTTCAACAGTACTGGCTTGTTGCCTACTGAGCACACCTACTTACAGCTTTCCAAATAGGTCTGTGTTCTCAAGAGGGCATTCTGCATTTTTCCTGCAGCTCGTGGGCAGTGCTGGTGAAATACTCTCAATGATACAGCTCTGGTTATGCCACCATGAAATAAAAGTACTCTTTTTGTGTTTGGTAATAAAGTAGGGGAAGAAGCAGGAAGTACGTGTGACTTGCAGTCCTTTAAGAATATAGACTTAAACAGGTGGATGTTTGCAGTCCTGGCTGCTGCGTGCCCCTATGTCTATGACCCTTGTACTGAATTAAGGTGAAACGACACGAGCCAACCAGTTTTATGATTTATCAATACAAAATACAAGACATATGGTTAAATATAACTCACCAATGATTATTTTAACTGAATCAGCAAGTCCTGTGCCATGTGTTTTCACTTGGATCTAGTTAATGTTCAATGAAAAAGAGAGAGAGAGAAAGGGAGAGGGAAAAGTATCGTCACCCGTGGATCCAGCAACATCTCGTTGGTCCTCTTCACCCAGGGTATTGTTGCTGGTGGGAGCTCTGACCTAAGCCCTGTGCTTGTATGTTCATGTTCTTTTGGGCATGAAGCAGCATAGAGATGTTACTATGATAATGACGGGCATAGTTCAGTGAGCACATGCCCAGTTCCAAAGCTGGAGTTCTCTAAGGGTCCTCCAGGTGGTTGTTATCCCTCTGTTGTCCCTGTTATCGTGGTGTCTGCTTTCTGACTCCATTCTCTGCGTCAGCTCATCCTTGAGTGATCCTTTGACATTCCTGTGGAGGCTTATCAGCTTTGAACAAAAGGTTCAGAACAATCCTATCTGCAGAGTATTGAGAGCCAACATCCTTGTTATTTGCTCCATTGATACTTAAAGCGACTCGTGGTCAAATGTAAATGGTGCCTGGGACACTATAGCGGGATGTGGAGCTGTTGGAGTGGGCCCAGAGGAGGCCACGGAGCTGCTGCGAGGGCTGGAGCAGCTCTGCTCTGGAGCCAGACTGAGAGAGCTGGGCTGGGGCAGCCTGAAGAAGAGAAGGGTCCTTAAGGGGACACCTTAGAGCAGCTCCAGTGCCTAAAGGGGCTCCAAGAGACCTGGAGAGGGGCTTTGGACAAGGGATGTAGGGACGGGACAAGGGGAATGGCTTTAACCTGCCAGAGGGGAGACTGAGATGAGCTCTGAGGCAGAAGCTCTTCCCTGTGAGGGTGCTGAGGTGCTGGCACAGGGTGCCCAGAGAAGCTGTGGCTGCCCCATCCCTGGCAGTGTTCAAGGGCAGGATGGACACAGGGGCTTGGAGCAACCTGCTCTAGTGGAAGGTGTCCCTGCCCGTGGCAGGGAGTTGGAACTGGATGAGCCTTAAGGTCCCTTCAACCCAAACCAGTCTGTGATTCTAAATAATCCACTCCTGACTGGCAACTTCCAGAACACAGTTGCTTTGAGTTTCATCTCTATTGAATCAGCTCTTTGTTTTCTGTGAAGACCTATGGTGACTCCAGTAACAGAATCTTAATATGACCATATTGCAGCTCTTGCTGATCATCCAAACTTTGTATTCATGAATCAGCCCCACTAGTCAGTATGTGTGATATGGGGTGTTGAATGTGAACAAACATTGAATGTTCACAGCAACATTTGTTTTCCGTATTGCCACTTCTTGCTGGTTTTTGTTGTCAAGTATGACTAGTTGTAGTAAAGTTGTTTCCTTACCATAATAGACTTACATATCTTGTATCTATGACAGAAAGAGTCCGTAGATCTGCTTTACATCAATTCTTCAGCGAGGGAGATGACAAGTGTTGAAAGCCAGCATGAAAGAGCGTGAATTATTAGAAGGATCAAAGGAATTTTTACTTCCTGACCCCAAAGTTTCTGCTGGTTTTTGAGGAATGCTGCTATCAATGCGTATTGCGATATTGTCCTGCGATCAGTGAGCTAAATAGCAGTCTGGTTACAGCACAGTCTGTCGGTCTGCTCGCTGTGGGGTTAAGAATGTGCTGGCAAAAATGGATGTTGGCAGGCATATGCTCATGTATACATTATTTTTATGGCACAGCTGTGTCTCTACTGGGAGTTTCTGTCAGCAGTTGTCTTGGTAGACATTAATATCTCCACACTTTAGACTGACGTAGCAGAAGCGACAGAAATCTGGGGCAAAGATCTGATCTGTAGATGCTAGCCACAATAAACTGGGTTTGGGGAGCTATGAGTGCAAAGTAACTGTGCTTCTTATTTTGAATACTGCTTTTCAGGAATACATTTCACAGCAGTTTAGCTACTGTTTGTTACTTTTTGGGTCAGGTCATATTTACTCTGCTAACTGTTCTTTAAAATCCTAAGAAATGATGCTGTGCTTGGAAGGTCTCTTAACTTTCAAACCAATCACATTCCTTCCTAAAGCCTGCTGCTACCTGCTGAAGTCTTTGAACACTAGTTTATAGGTCTCCAAGGTACAATACTTATCATATTATCTGTGTCCACCTGTTGGACAATCACTGTGAGTAGCTTGCTCCCAAAAGTCACTGTCTGTTCTGGTCATTTTTGTGACTTTTCCCAGGTATGCTGAATCCATCACTAAAATACTCTGTAATGCCTCTGCTCTCTTAGTTGGATATCCAATGCTTTCTTGTAATATTTGAAATTGTTGTGTATCATGGACAAATGGGGAGAGTTTAAGCATAAATTACTCAAATTTAGCTCCTTCCTGCACTTTTTAAATAAATCAAGCATATAAGACAGGTTAGTTATTAGTTACATAGTACTATCAACATGCTAACTGTAGGGTTTAAACTAACTATATAGAAATTAACTATACAGAGGCATTCAAATGCCATAGCTTTGTCTGTGGAGTGTGTGCTCATTCTGAAAATCATGAAGTGATGAATAAGAACTCAGTTGGAATACAACAATCCACAGGGCTGTTAAAAGTTACACTCTTTTTTTTTTACTCTTTCACAGCAAAATACCATAATCCTGGCTTATTATTAGGATTTGATAATCCTAAAGCAATTATCAAATTGCTTTAGAAGCAAGAGTTGCTCATGCCTAGAAAACCAGGCAGAAAGCTCAGTCTATCATTAAAGTTGAATGGTCTTCTGTAGAAACCATTTGTAAGTCTATTTCACGTTTACTCTTACCATATTTGTTAATGAAGATACTAAATCTATCAAAACATACACTTACTACTAAGAATATTGTATCAGACTTGCAAAATCATCCATAAAAATAAATACTGTTAACAGTATACTTGTATATATACAGTATATTGACTAGAATTGTTTGTAAATCCTTTGTAGAATAGGATTATGTTAGCAAACTTCCACAAAGTTGTTTGGGGTTAAAAGAAGAGTAATTAAAGGATATTTTCTTTTAGGACACTGGGAAGTGGGAGGTATATATCATCTCCAAAACTTTCAAACTAGGCATTGAATGTAAGTTATAGTTCCTAATCATTTACTGAATCAAAACACTGAATAAAATGGTGTATTGCTGTCTGTACACAATGCAAATTCTATTAACTGTTTGCATGTTCTGTGTTTATTGTCAACAGCTGAAAAGAAATATGCCAGCATACTTGGCTCCTTGGAGGGCTTCTCCGTGTGCCTTTCAATCCTCCAGATCTGAACCCATGCCAAATCTAGCCAGTGATGGAGTTGTCTGTGCTCCGCTTCAGACATACACTGAAGAGGAGACAATGCTGAAAAATATGGGTACCTGTTGTCTGTGCAGTTAAAATTCAGAGCTGTCTTAGCTAGAAGGGGGATTTTAGCTTTAAAAATTCATTGTTTAATTCTAGTTAAATACTGAGATTGTTAGGGGGTTGGGTTTGTGCTTAATTTTAAAGCTGCTTGTTCATAAGAGAGAAATGTAGTGTTCTTTTTCCACTTTACCATAGCACAGTTCCACATACCACATAAATACATAAATATTAAGTGCTTAAAACTGTTGCTGTCGTAGAAGTGAAGTCGCCTGGCGTTGACTCGTGCCCTTTCTGAAGTGTTTAGTTCAGCTACAGGTAACTGCTCCAGTTGGTTTTCAGACATTTCCAGTATACCCAGAATGGTGACAGATGTGATGTGAGTGTCTGTGATGCAGCCAGTCCTGCACGAAGATGACAGTGTTCCAGAAGGGATCCTCAGAACAAAGGTGAAAGGATAAGGACCTGCACATCTGGGAGAGAGCTTATAAAAGGCTCCAATTAAACAGAAACAGTCTCACAGGATTTAGTGCACTCAAAATAACACGCATTGAAGCTTGAGACCATCTTTCCAAACGGCAGGTTAAATTTATAAAGAAATAGGATACAGCTAACCAAGTAAGGGACGTAGTTGAAATATTTTCTGTATTATTTTTTGGTCAACCAGTGTTACATAAATGTTGCTGAGATGCTTTCAAAGTTCCTGGATTTATAGGACGTATTTGTTTTGATTTAGAGTTCAGAGCTGAGTTCAGAAAGCAGTTATATATAATTGAGCCTTATGGCACCCTGTTTCACTTGGGCAACTTTCTGTCCTTTTATTCATTTGTCTTGGAGAGTCAGGGAATACATGTATAACGTATCCAAAGTACCACATTACTGTGATCTTGATCTTCAAGGGGACTGGTGGAATACTTATATGCTTGCTTTCTTCTCTTCATTACAGTGGCAAAGTTTGCTCAGGAACGAGTTGCACCATTGGTGCAGAAAATGGATGAGAATTCAAAAATGGAAGACTCTGTAATACAAGGATTGTTTGAACAAGGGGTCTGTATACTTTTACTTACCTTTTATGCAGGAAGTGATGATTTTAGAAATCTATAGCTGTGCACTTTTCAGATTTTTAGATTAAAAGTTTGAGGGATATAATTCAAATGAACTAATATGAGTCATTAGAAATTCAGGATTTATCAACAGCAAGGCAACTTTCTCTTATTTTTTAATCACTCTCCATCTTTTACTGTAATATTCTTTCCATGTCTCCCTCTCCCACACCATTCTTTGTCTTATCTTTGAGTTCCTTGTTTTCCCCTCCATACCTTTTTGGTTTGGTTTGGGTTTTTAATTGGATAAACAGAATTGTGTAGAATGCTCAAACTGCCATGACTCCGATAAGTTTTGCTGGAGTATTGGGAGTGATTCAGGAGTCCTCTGTGCCTTTACTGGGCAACCACAAGGATTTGTGTTGCAGAAACCTTGGCGTTCATTCCTGGATCCAGTTTCAGCTTTTCCTGCCATCAGGCCTCTCACTACAAGAGAGGAGCAGGTCCAGAGAAGGGCAGTGGAGTTGGTGAAGGGACCTGGGGGGGGTTTAGCCTGGAGAAGAGAAGGATCAGGGGGGACCTTATTGCTCTCTACAGCTGCCTGACAGGAGAGTGGAGCCAGGAGGTGTCTGGTCTCCTCCCAAGTAACAAACAACAGGACAAGAGGAAACACCATCATGTTGTACCAGGGGAGGTTTAGATTGGATGTTGGGAAACATTTTTTCCCTGAAAGGGTTGTTAGGCACAGGAACAGGCTGCCCGGGGCACTGGTGGAGTCACCATCCCTGGAGATACTTAAAAGACCTGTAAATGTGGCATTTAAGGGCATGGTTTAGTGGTGGGCTTGTCTGTGCTGGGTTAACAGTTGGTCTTGATGATCTTAAAGGTCTTTTCCAGCCTAAATGGTTCTATGATTTGGTGAAGAATTGTTAGTTTGTTAAGGGTATTGATGGAAAAAAGTTATGTGGAGAAAGATCTGGAAATACTTACATTCTGTGTCTATTATTTTAATATATTAAGTATCAGCTTGGACTAATAAGTTGTTGACAGGAACTAATAGATTAATTTGTTTGCGTTGTTTGTATTTCAGCTGATGAGTATTGAGCTTGGGGAAGAATATGGAGGAACTGGAGCTTCATTTTTTTCCGTCATATTGGTGGTAGAAGAGTTAGCCAAAGTTGATCCAGCTGTCTCTCTTATGTGTGAACTCCAAAATACACTAATAAATAAGTTGTTTACCACATATGGAACGGAAGAACAAAAAAGAACTTACTTGCCCAGAGTGGCTAAAGATACAGTGAGTCAAAGTGTCACTTTACTGAACTATAATATAGTTCTTAATAGTGATATTAGTGGGGCTTTTTCTTTCAGTGACTGCAGCATTGGAAAATAATCTTTATGTGACAGCTTTGAAGCACTGGTTAGACCTGAGATCTATGGTGCTATAGATACATCCTGTCATCAGTAGCTGAGAGGTAAAAGTGGAAAGGCACTTATTAGTTTCATTAAAATTTAATTTTCTGTGGAAAAGAATGTTAAAGCAGTTGACTTTGAGAGATGTGTAATTACATAGTGTTTCTATTCTTAATCTCCATGTCTGAAACTTAGTTACTTTGATGCAATAGGTTAAAATGCTTGAATTTAAGAGACCTGTGCTTATTTTAATTGCAGAGTTATATGTTGTACCTACATGTTCAGTAAAAAACTAAGACTATTTTTTCCCTTTACAGATAGGCAGTTTTTGTCTTACGGAGACTGGATCTGGCAGTGATGCTTTTTCTTTGAAGACTCGGGCTGAAAAGAAAGGAGACTACTATGTCATCGATGGCTCAAAGATGTGGATTAGCTTAGCAGAACATGCAGGAGTTTTCTTTGTGATGGCAAATACAGATCCATCCTTAGTAAGTTGCTAAAGAGTAGTTGCATTTCAATGACAGCTCATGATACATGAAACTAGGGATTTTATATTAATAATCTGATGTTAATTGCAGAATTATATGTTGTACCTACATGTTAATGATGTTAATCAGATTATTAGTTTAGTTTGCCAATGACACCAAGCTGTGTGGCT